AGAAATATGGTTCAACAAAAAATTACTTCTAAAAACGTTTTCACAAACAAAAAAAATGTCGTGGAAGACCCCTGTGCGGTCCCCACAGTTCCACTCACATTTTGGCCGCATATTTTAAAAATAAATTACATATTCGTTTCAACCACTGAAAGGTCCCGGTGTCCAGACAACGTTTGACTTTCACAGGGACCCGCAGTGCGTTGCTGTGATTCTCCTTCCTTTCTTCCTTCTCCCATCGGCGGGCACACAATGCCGAGAGCGTTCGCAGCCGCCCAAGAAAAGCGGTTAGTTGTTTTTATTCGTGTCTTTTCGACCGAATTCAGTGGCCTGCGCGTCAGGCAGCGCCGTGGCACACGTCCGCACCGCGAAAAACCAGGACGTAAAAAAGAGAGACCCCGGTCCCTCCCGTGGTGACCGCAGTGCAGGGGCGCAGTGAAGCATCTCCCGCCGCCAGGGAAACACGCAGGCTCAACGCCGTCGCCAAGAACGAACCGACAAAACAACAACCGGAAAACCAACGAAAATAGCACATCCACAAATCAATAAACCAACAATATACTGAACCAGTACACACAAAAAAAAAAAATCAGTGACTGGTCTCCAGTCATTGCTACAAACAAACAATATAACAAACAAAAAAGGACGAAATAAAATAAATACATAAGGATTGCGCTGTGCTAGTGCTGAGGGGAGAGCGCAATTTGTGTGCCCAAGAAAAAAAAAAAACGTCTTGCGTAAATTAAAAAAAAAGCGGAAAATAAAACAAAATGTATGTCTACATGAGACTTTATTTACTTCTGAAAGCGCGTGGAGAAACGGAGATGCTCTCAGTAGAAGCACAAACTCCCCTCCACCGGGGTCCACTCAGCACAGGGCCGCAAAGCCCCATAGCCCCAATAGCAGCAGAAACAGAAGAGACACACACCCATGCATCGTGCCGTCACCGCTTCCTGAATCGGGCCTCACACGTGTAAGGTTGTCGAAAGCAACGGAGCTGTCACCAGAAAGAGAAATGCTGGGTGCGTCCTTCGCAAGAATCGCGCTGGTGTTTTCGGATCCACCGTCAGCCATGCTACCGTCGTCGGGTCCGTCAACCATGCTGCCATCGTCGGGCCCGTCAGCCAGGCGCACCTTTGGCGATGCCGAAGCTGGCGATGAGGAAGCTGGCGATGAGGAAGCTGGCGATGAGGAAGCTGGCGATGAGGAAGCTGGCGATGAGGAAGCTGGCGATGAGGAAGCTGGCGATGAGGAAGCTGGCGATGAGGAAGCTGGCGATGA